ATAATCAAGGCACACTGGGGCCCCTACTCTCTGGAGAACTTGGCCCCTGCCTGCAATCCTATGGCTCTGTGTCATACACAGGAGGTAGGGCCTCTGCCCCTCAACCAGAAATGGTGATGGTACTAAAGGAGGTTCAGCCCACAAATGACCTACCAGCAGCCTCCTGCTCTGGACTTTACTACTCCGTGTCTGCTCAACCCATCACAGAAAGGAGTTTTCAAGGTGAGTAGAAAGAGCAAGAAGGGAGAGGAATAAGGCCAGCATTCAGAAGGAGGGTCGAATTTGCAGCTGGGAAGTGATGAGTCCACAGAGAGGTAGAATTTAGTCCCAAGACTAAACACTACCCTCATTCAGTACTCTCCAACATTTCCAGATTCCATGTAAGAACACCTAATATATTCGGGACACTGCAGTGGTCAATTATGCTACATGTAAGAGAACCCTGAAAGCATACCAAAGGATACTATACCTTCCACTGCCCTAGCTGATCAATTCCCCTGCACCACCACACCTTAATTAACTCCCTTCCCTCATCTTTAATCTCTTTGGAAGGCACTTTCAAACTCTTATTGTAGTAGTACCAGTTTAACTTTCCCTCATTTCCTTAATTTACACCAGGATTTAAAACTATGTGTTCAGACACTCTGTCTAAAGCAAGTCGGTATAGACTTTGTCTTTGCTTATATATCTTATGAGGAAGAGTTCATCTCCCTGTCCTTAGTCCATGACATCAAGTATTATTACTCTCTCAGGAGAATGGAGAGAATTGAAAGGACCCTATATAAGAATGCCAGGCTTTATTTTATAAAACATTTAATATTTTTAAGTTACCTTCACACTATTTATTTGACTTACAATAACCCTAAGAAATACAAAGAAAACCAAGAAACAAAGACATCAAATGATCATGGGTCAGAACTTGAACAGCAGCCTCCTAGTTCCTAAACAGGGTCTTGCTGATGCTCCTTAAGAGGAGCTTGTAGAAAGCCTTGCCCACTGTTGGGGAAGGTGCCTGATTGCTCTGCTGGTAGGTAGGGGGAGCATCTCACTTACCAGACACTTAGTGACTTCTTTCTTGATTCCTTTGTAGTGATGGAAACTTCCCTGGGGATGGAGACTTCCCTGGGATTGCAACCTCCAAGTCAGACATTTTGTCTGCCACAAACTCCAGAATTCCCCAAGTCCTGCAGTAGCAGAAACATCCACACACCTGAGAGTAACCCACCACCTGAGCTTGGGGACATTCCAGTGATAGCTCCAGTCCAGAGTTCTAGTAATGTCCTTGCACTGCCTCCAGCTCCAAGTCAGGAGCAAACAGAGAACCAGAATCTGGATGAGAATAAAAGCAAGCTTCCAAAACCTCTGGATGCCTGCCAGATCCCAAGAGAATACGAAGATCCTCCACTACTCCCTTTAGAAATCCCTGATATTCATCATCTTCTGGCTTGCATTGATCCCCTCAGTCAAGAGGAGCAGTCTGGTTCTGAAAACAATTATCTGGGAAAGAAAAGCCTTAGTCTTGAGGACCAAGACACACCTGAAAATGGGAATGAGTCTAGCAGTGGTTTTGCAGGTATCACTACACTGGTGGAGGATAGTCACCTTTCTCAGCTCTTCAATTCCTCGAATGGCCTTGATCAGTCCAAAGATCCCAAGGCAATCAAAGCCAAAGATACCAAAGCCATCAAGGTGAATGAAGTGCAGGAAAAGACAAGCGTGATAAACAGTTCGTGTGATCGAGTCAGGAAGAACAAACACAAAGCCTCTGAGCCTATCACTGGTGCTCCCAAGGCCAAAATCCAAGCAAAGAACCCAGAGGGAGAAGTGGTTGTTTGCAATGCAGAAGCCAGTGACAGGGCTCCTGTGAAGACTGCTAAGCATTCTGACAGCAAACCTCAGAAAGCTGCATCCAGCAGAAGCAGCAAAACTAAGCGCCACGGACAGGAAAACACCAAAAGGACCAGAGAAAACAACTCCAAGAAAGCTGAAGACAGTAAGCAGTCAGGGAACAAAGTCAAGGCTGAAGAGAAGCCAACCATTCCCAAGATGAAGCGGAAGAAAAATCAACCTGAGCTTAGCCAAGAGACCTTTAAGAAGCCTCGAAGCTGCCTGGGCATGCACATGCTGGAGTCTGTGCAGGTTTTTCATGCACTGGGGAAGAAGAATGATAAGAAAACTGGGCTCTCCTCCTCCCGAGCCCTGGGAAACTCGAGCAACACCAAAGACCCCCGACCATCCCCAGCTATCAAACCATGGCTGGATACCCCACGTGAGGGAGAAGGTGCTGAGAAAACTCAGGTCAAAGCCCAGAAACCAGAAGGCAGTGCTGAGAAACCGTGTCCATCTCCATCCCAGTATGAGCTGCCACCTCCTGGGAAGGTCAAGTTGGTACCTTTGCCTTTTCTGACCTTGGACAAGCCTCAAGCTCGACCTGTTCCTCGGAGGCCACAGTCTCTGGCCTCACATCGGCCTTCTGTGGCTAACTCTCCTCGGCCTGGTTCTAATAAATCAGTTCAGCCGACTGCAGCCAATCCATCCCGGCCGGCTCCTGCCAATGCATCGTGGATGGGTCCTGCTAGACCGGCTTGGCCTATTTCTACCAACCCGGCCCAACCAGGTTTGACCAACCCTACCCAGCCCAGTGTCCCTCAGTCTGCTGCTTCTAGGCCTGCATCCTACAAAACATCATCTTGCACTTCTCTCCAGCGCCAACATGTTCCCGCTGTTGTGACCAACCAGCAGTCCCCACCTAAGCCTCAAAACCAGTTTCTACTCCAAGATTTCGGCTTCCAACCAATTCCATGGAGGAAACCCAATGTTCCTGAGCCAGTAATGTCAACACCTATCACAAAAGAGCAGAGGCCAGAGCGTGAGGCCATGAAGAGGCAGGCTCAACAAGAGCGTGAGAATGCTGCCAAATACACCTCTTTGGGGAAAGTGCAGTTTTTCATTGAGAGGGAGAAAGACATGGAAACTGCTCGATTTTATGGTTATGCAATATAATAAGAGCTGTTAGGATTTTTGGTGCCACTTTGGGTACCAGCTGTTTTTCCATATATACACATATAGATAAATACAAATTTCTTTATTATTCTTTGGGTAAAAAACTTAATCAAATTGAATAAAGAAATGTAATAGAATTAATAGATGAGTAATAAAAAGACCTCTGAGTTTTGAGATGCTGTTAATGGCTGTTTTTCTTTGGTAGGGGTAGAATCAAAGGCTGCATTAGCCCGAAGAGAAATTTGGATGAGAGAATGGGGGAAAGAGGGTAAGAATTGAGGAAAGAATAGAGAATTTGGTCCAAGGCTATGAAGGCCAGAAAGGGAGAGTTTATGGATTATAAAAAGCAGAGGTGGGGGAAATGGCAGAGGGAAAAAGCAGCATCTGAGGTTAGAGTTAAAAGAATAAAATTTGAGTAGAGTTGAAGGTGGTCAAAGATGAGTCTGGGTTGACCAGGAGAAATGTAAAAAGTCTTTCATGGAGACAGTACTTAGTCTCCTGGTCTAGCAGACAGCTATTCTGGAAAACAAGAGGATTCAGGACACTCCTCCAATAGGCTTGGGTTGACTTATACACGGATAATTCTGGCTGGCAATGGTGAATACAAAACATAGGGACCCTACTATAGGAGTGGCAAGGGTGCAGAGTTATCCCGGGAGGCAGCTGATAACTTTGGGGCCTAGCTAGGTGAACTGCAGTAGAATGAGGCCCACCTAGAAGAATAGGGCCTGCAATATAAAACACCATTTACTCAACACCTATGCTCAGGACCTTTAGGCATTCTACTTCAATCAACCTTCACAACAAGCAAGGCCAGAGTCACTGTACCACTTCACTGGTAAGCTGAGGTCATATTGGGCTCAGCAATGAACTGAGGTCACACTGCATACTGAGAAGCAAGGCCTAATTTGCGGCCTGTCGCCCTCAGAAGTCTAGTGTTTGCAAGGCCCGGGAGGCGGCCCAACCTGTCTTTCGGAGCACAGCATCCAGAGGTCACGGGTGGATGATATCAAAGCTAATGAAGAGCATGCATGGGCCTAAATATTATCTTGAAGGGCCTGCCATGTCCTTCTCCACTGACTGGGTCGCGTGCGCCACCATCCCGGATCGTCGCCATCAACTGAAGAACAAGAGAAAATCGGCTCCAAACATCCATTCCCACTGAGGGCGGGTGATGGGCGCTCGTGTGCACTGGGTACTGGTGCCAAACAAGGCAGTACGCAGGCCCTCAAGGGTACCAAGGTGTTCCCTATTGGTCACGTGGAGAAGCTAGCGGAAGTGGGCACGGGGAGGATGGGGGAGCATGGAGGGGGATGGGAGAGGTACGGCTGCACGCAGTCACTGTGGGAAAAATTAGTAATTTACATGAAATGGTTTTGTTAAAAATATGTCACATACAAAAAATTCACCATTTAAAAGGGTCCAATTCAGTAGCATTTAGTACATTCAGGAGAATGTGCAACCATCACTACTCTGTAATTCCATCATCCCAAAAAGAAACCTGCATACCCACTAGCAGTCAGTCCCATTTCCCATTTGCTCCTCTACCCAGCCCCTGGCAACCACTGATCTACTTTTCTGTCTGTATAGATTCGCCTGCTCTGGACATTTCATATAAATGCAATCATACAATATGTGACCTTGTGTCCAGCTTCTTTCACTTAGCCTAATGTTTTCAAGGTTCATCCATGTCATAGCATGTATTGACACTTCATTCCTTTATATGGCTGCACAGTATATCATTGTACACATATACTATATTGGTTTATTCATCAGTCTTTGGACATTTGGGCTGTTACCAATAGTAATTTACATTTATTGAGAATTTCTTCTGTACCAGGTAACACTAGGCTAAGTCTTTTTAAAGTACTATTAACCCTATTTTATAGATAAAGAGATAGGCTTGGCATTACTGGCATGAATCAAAAAAACACAAAATACAAATGTTGGAGAGGCTGCGGGGAGATTGGAACTTGTATGCACTGCTGGTGGGCAAAATGATACAAGTGTTTTGGAAAACAATATGGCACTTCCTTAGACAGCTAGAAATAGAAATACCATATGATCCAGCAATCCCACTCCTAGGAATATATCCTAGAGAAATAAGAGTCATCACATGAATAGACAAATGCACACCCATGTTCACTGCAGCATTGTTCACAATAGCAAAAAGATGGAAACAACCTAGATGCCCATCAACAGATGAATGGATAAACTATGGTACATACACACAATGGAGTACTATGCAACGAGAAAGAACAATGATGAATCTGTGAAGCATCTCATAACATGGACGAAACTGGAGGACATTATGCTGAGTGAAATGAGTCAATCACAAAAGGACAAATATTGTATGAGACCTCTATTGTAAAAACCCATGAAAAAGTTTACACCCAAAAAGTAACAATCTTTATTGGTTACCAGGCATGGGAGGGGTGGGGGGAAAATACTAAATAGGCAATAGATAAGTGATATCTTGGGTGAAGGGTGAGATAGTACACAATACTGGGGAAACCAGCACAACTTGTACCAGGAAAGGTCATGGAAGCTCCATAGACACATCCAAACTCCCTGAGGGACTGAATTGCTGGGTGGAGGGCTGTGGAGACCATGGTCTCGGGGAACATCTAGCTCAACTGGCATAACACAGTTTATGAAGACAATTTTCTACATTCTACCTTGTTGAGTAGCATCTGGGGTCTTAAAAGCCTGTGAGCAGCCATCTAAGATACTCCACTGGTCTCATCCCTTTGGGAGCAAGAGAGAATGAAGAGAACAGGATACAAGGAAAAGATTAGTCAAAAGGACTAATTGTCCACAGCTACCAAGGCCTCCACCAGACTGAGTCCAGTACAGCTAGATGGTGCCCGGCTACCACCACTGACTGCTCTAACCAGGATCACAACAGAGGGTTCTGGACAGAGCTGGAGAAGGATGTAGAACAAAATTCTAACACACTAAAAAAAGACCAGATTTACTGGCCTAAAGGAGACTGGAGAAACCCCGAGAGTATGGCCCCCAGACACGCTTTTAGTTCAATGGTGAAGTCACTTCTGAAGTTCACCATTCAGCCAGGGATTGGACAGCCCCATAAAACCAAATGGGACTAATGAGGCACGGCAGTCCAGAGACAAGGGCTAGAAGGCTTAAGGGGACAGGAAAGCTGGTGATAGGGAACCCAAGGTTGAGTAACGACAGTGTTGATGTGTTGTGAGGTTGTTAACCATTGTCATAGGGCAACGTGTGTACTATTTAATGAGAAACTATTTCATTCTGTAAACCTTCATCTAAAGTGAGAATAGCAGCATAACTGGAAGAGCGTAGTCAATGTCACTGAACTGTGCATGTAGAAATTTTTGAAATGGTGTATCTTTGGCTATGTATATTTTCAACAAAAAAAAATAAAAAAGGTAGACAAGGGAGAGTGTTGACATGTCGGGGGTTGTTAACCAATGTCATAAAACAATATGTGTACTACTGTTTAATGAGAAACTATTTGTTCTGTAAACCTTCACCTGAAGTACAATTTAAAAAAAAAAAGGTACAAGGGGATATTCAATGCAAAATAACCCTTTTTCCTAAGTTCCCCAGCTACCCTGTCTAATCTTTGGCTGAAGGGTGAACCTCAGGAGTGACTTCATTACTGAGCTAAAAGGGTGTCCAGAGGCCATACTCTCGGGTTTCTCCAGTCTCTGTCAGGCCAGTAAGTCTGGTCTTTTTTTGTGAGTTAGAATTTTGTTCTACATTTTTCTCCATCTCTGTCCAGGACCCTGTACTGTGATCTCTGTCAGAGCAGTCAGTGGTGGTAGCCGGGCACCACCTAGTTGTACTGGACTCAGCCTGGTGGAGGCTGTGGTAGTTGTGGTCCATTAGACTTTTGGACCACAACTTTCCCTTGTATCTTATTTTCTTCATTCTCCCTTGTTCCCGAAGGGGTGAGACCAGTGGAGTATCTTAGATGGCCGCTCACAGGTTTTAAGGCCCCCAGATACTACTCACCAAGGTAGAATGCAGAACATATTCTTTATAAACTATGCTATGCCAACTGAGCTAGATGTTCCCCAAGACCATGGTCCCCACGACCTCAGCCCAGCAATTAGGTCCCTCAGGGAGTTTCGATGTGTCTATGGAGCTACCATGACCTTGCCTTGCACAAGTTGTGCTGACTTCCCCAGTATTGTGTACTGTCTTACGTTTCACCAAAGTTACCACTTATCTAATGTCTATTTAGTGTTTTTCCCTCCCTCCGTCTCCTCCCTCAGAACCATCAAGGATTGTTTTTCTGTGTAAACCTTGTCATGAGTTTTTATAGTAGTGGTCTCATACAATATTTGTTCTTTTCTGATTGACTTATTTCACTCAGCATAATGCCCTCCAGATTCATCCATGTTATGAGATGCTTCACAGATACATCATTGTTCTTTATCGTTGAGTAATACTCCATTGTATGTATGTACCATAGTTTGTTTATCCATTCATCTGTTGATAGGCATCTAGGTTGTTTCCATCTTTTTGCTGTTAACAATGCCGCAATGAACATGGGTGTACATATGTCTATTCGTGTGATGACTCTTATTTCTCTAGGATATATTCCTAGGAGTGGGATTGCTGGAGCAGATGGTATTTCTAATTCTAGCTTTCTAAGGAAGCACCACATCATTTTCCAAAATGGTTGTACCATTTTGCATTCCTACCAGCAGTGCATAAGAGTTCCAATCTCACCACAGCCTCTCCAACATTTGTTATTTCCGGTTTTTTTATTTTTATTCGTGCCAGTAATGCCAGGGTGAGATGGTATGTCACTGTGGTTTTGATTTGCATTTCTCTAATGGCTATTGGAAACCATGGTGGCATAGTGTTTAAGAGCTACGTCTGCTAACTAAAAGGTTGGCAGTTCGAGTCCATGAGTCGCTCCTTGGAAACTCTATCGGGGCAGTTCTCCTCTGTCCTATAGAGTCGCTATGAGTTGGAGTCCACTAGATGGCAACGGGTTTTTTTTG